ACATACACTGACCATGCAGTGGCTTTCACATTATTTGCTGAAGGGATCAGGCACGAGCACAGCATGCGTTCCAAGAAAGACACAACCAATAGCACAGATTAGAAGGCAGGTTTAGCAAGTCTTGGGGAATGTGTTTTTAACTGGTGCTGACAGCACACTTTCATTTCCAGCAAACTTCCTGACTGTGTGCTAGATTCTTCTCATAAAATGGCTTAATTTAAGCTTCCACAGGGTGGAACATCAGAACATAGAGAATCAAACTCTGGGTTTTATTGATTTAGTAAAACCTCTTTGTATGTTGAAATTAGCCATGTGGAAATGGTTCCTGTAAAGAAACAGGTTGCACTGTGTCCTCATAGGAAACCCACAACCAGTAGTTCACCCCAGGTTTCTAGAAAGTATAGTTAAAAAGGAGAATGGCTGTAAAGCCCTAATCCAAGATATGTTGTTGTATTCTCACAAGGGGAAGGGACTGTAACATGGTGGTGTTTTAAGCATCTGAGAAGATTCAAGGTAAAGCAAACCAAGCTCTGGTATGCCTCCTGGAATCTTTGGACAACTAGGATAGGGAAATGTTTTGAATATTGGCTTAGTATCATAATAAACTGTATTTTACAGTAAGTAACCCATGTGGAAAAATTCTGGAGAAAAAATGGTATTCAGTTTGTTGTTCTCAAATGTTTATTGAGACCACAGATGTAATTTTTAAAATGACATATCAAATAAAAACAACAACTCAGTGTTCTCGTTTAGGAAAGTGTTTTATGAAAATAAGGGAAAATTCTCATGTACAATTGCTGGTGTGTTTTGGATTTTAGTATTGCTTTCCTTTTTGTGTAGGAGAATTTTATTGGATTTTATTCAGTGATAAATTGGTTTCAAGCATGGTAATATATCATGGGTCTGCCTAGACAGAATAAAATTGTGGTTCTGAATTAAATTGCTCCTATTGGTGAAATAGACCAAAGGCTATTTGGTCTTAAATTGTGGTTCTGAATTAAATTGTGGTTCTGAATTAAATTGCTCCTATTGGTGAAATAGACCAAAGGCTATTTGGTCTTAAATTGTGGTTCTGAATTAAATTGTGGTTCTGAATTAAATTGCTCCTATTGGTGAAATAGACCAAAGGCTATTTGGTCTATCAAAGTGATAGATGGGGGGAGGGGGGAGTTGTATCCCCAAAATGCTGACAGAGCAAAACAGTGCTCATGAGTTACAGCAAAACATTATTTTACATATGGTGTTTACTTCCCTGACCCTGTTCATTCATGTGCGTATATAAATGTATCTTGTCTTGATGGAAAATAGTGCAAAAATATGTGGCCTGCTTGCTCTTAAACTTTTAAAGGGAAAAAAATACTGTTTTTTTTCAAAAATGTCTGCTTTTTTAAACAAAAGAGAAGTAATAATCAGTAGAAAGTATTTTGTCTAACTGTTAATTTACTTATGTACTGGTCACCTCTTATTTTCAGTATCTGAAAAACTATAAAAAATGCTTTGAATGTGTCAAAGCATAAAACCACCAAGACATCTATTAGTTTAATAATTAATTAATATTTGGTCAAGACTACCAATCATCTGGTCTGATACAGGAATCATTGCCTTCGTTCTGTAGCCAGGGAGCCATTCTGGGAAAGGGTCAAAGTAAGCCAGGCTTATTTCTCTGAGATGGAGGGTGGAAGGTGTCTTGGTATGGGTGATTCCTCACATCAGGTCAGGAGGCTGTATCTAACTTCAGCTTCTTGTCTCCACTGGTGGGGAGGGGAGAGTCACCCATTCCCCAGTTAGGGTTGTCAGCCTCCAGGTGGGGCCTGGAGATCTCCTGGAATTACAACTGTTCTCCAGAGCATAGAGATCAGTTCCCCCGGAGAAAATGACTGTGTTGGAGGGTGGACTGTATGACCTTGTACCCTACTGAAGTCCCTCCCCTCCCCAAAGCCTGCTGTCCCCAGGCTGCACCCCCAAAGCTCTAGGAATTCCCCAACTTGGAGTTGGCAACCCTGTCCCCAGTTCACTTCTTGCTTAGGAAGGGAGCACAAGTCACTAGAGGAGTTCTGATCCTCAGACCTGTCTTATCTCTTACTTGGTGTTATGTTCTCTACCCTTCTACTTCTCAAAAACTCTTAATCTCTTCAAAAATGGGAAAGAAAAAAATATTTGTTCCACACTTTTAGCCTGGAGTTTTTTTCCATGGCAGTGGAACCCCATACTGCAGTGGAGAGTTCTTCAGATGGCTACCTTTCCCCTGGAGAAAGAGTAGTCAGCTGCTTCACCACAAAATCAGAGAAAAAGAACAACCTTCATGCTGGAGGCAGGGCTGCTGAGAGTTCCAGTCAGGGAATCACAGTTGGGATTGCTTTTTCCTTGTCCCAGAGCATGATCATTAGTACAAGCTAGTGGGGGAGGGAACTTTTGGCATACAAATCCAGTGCAGTTTGGGTGAAACATTGCAAGGGTCCTCAGCTCACAGAACTAATCAAGGCTGATTCCTACCATCAATCAAGGACGTGCTTTAGGCACACAAAGGAAGAATAAAGCAGCATTGGGGTTCCAGCCAGGCTACAAGAAGTTGCTCTGGAGGCAGCATACTGGTTAAAGAGTATAGTCTTCAAGGAATGTTTCCTGCTCCAATCCAAGGAGCATTGTCAGGCCATAAGTAGGCACAAGTGCCTAAAGAGTCCCCCTCTCACAACACAGGTGAAGCTCAGGAAGAAAAGAGAGAACCGATCCACCCTGTAGCTAGAAGCCCACAACAACAGGAATCGCTCATGATTCACCAATGCAGCCCAAAAGGCACCCCCAGCTCTTTGGCCATGAGTCTAGAGCCTTTAATGAAGAGTGATTTGGTGGGTGCTAGGTCTGAGCAGGCTTGTTGGCCTCGTCTTTAACTTTGATCCACCATTATACAATAGTTACTCTTGCCTTGGATGTTACAGCCTTTATCCAAAGTGTACTGCAGCAAGGTACAGGTTCAGATTGATTCTAGGCAGGTTTATCTATCCAACATGTCATTTACAACTATTGGCCATAACATGCTAAAATGCCCATGCTTTTAAAGTGTGAAATGGACATTAGATTACTGTGAGGAATCCTTCTACTCTGAGATAGGGAGGACCTCTTATCCCATGTCAATTTAAGCAGAGTAGTGGTCAAATTCTGCTTTTTCAGTGATTCGATGTATGGATGACTAGGAATAAGGCCCGTGTGGAAATAAATACAACGAGCTCTAGAAAGAGGCTCTGAGAGAGTGCCAAGGCCTTGGGCACTCAGCATCAATGTGCTGTGGTGACCTCAGCAGGGTATAATGACACAGAGTCCACCATTTTATCCAGAGGAACTGATCTCTGCTACCTGAAGAGCAGTTGTAATTTTCAGTGATCTCCAGCCCTCACCTGGAGATTGGCAACAATTGTTACCCAGGAGGAAATGACTGGTCTGGCGGGTGGAGTCTATGGCATTGTACCTGTCTGAGGCCCCACCCCTCCTCAAACCTCACCCTCTCCAGGCTCCACCCCTCAAATCTCCATGAATTTCCCGACCTGGAGTTAGCAACTCTACCTCCTTGCCAGCCAAGCATCAACCTGCCATTATCTGCCCCTCTGATTTCAGCCTTGCATCTCCTCCCCCCTCCCTCCTCGAGATCAGTTTCCACCCCTCTCCTGAGATTGGGAACAATGGTTCCCCAGAAGGGAATGGCTGGTTTGGAGGGTGGAGTCTATTAGATTGTACCAATCTGAGGTCCCACCCCTCCTCAAACCTCACCCTCTCCAGGTTCCATGGATCACCTTTATACCTCTGGTACTTCGTGTCACATTTTATGGCATACATGGCTCGGCCTGACAGAGTGACCTCTATGTCAGACCCAGCCCTTGTAACAAATGAGTTCGACACCTCAGGTGCAGACTGTATTTTATTCAATTTATGATGATACAGGTGGCCTTTGGCATTGCCTCCACTCACTTTCTGCACTGACTGATGTTCAGTAGGCTTGGGTAAAGGTAAAGGTTTCCCTTGCTCGAAAGCCAGTCGAATCCGACTCTAGGGTTGCCGTGCTCATCTCCGTTTCCAAGCCGAAGAGCCAGCGCTGTCCAAAGACGTTTCCGTGGTCATGTGGCCGGCATGACTAAATGCTAAGGCACACGGAATGCTGTTACCTTCCCACCGAAGTGGTACCTATTTATCTACTTGCAATGTCTTGCTTTCGAACTGCTAGGTTGGCAGGAGCTGGAACCAGAAACGGGAGCTCACTCCGTCATGTGGCACTTGGGTCTCGAACCGCTGAACTACCGACCTTCCAGCCTGCAGTTCAGCGTCTTAACCACTTGAGCCACCACAGCTTAGATAATTTTATTTTAATGACTTGTCCCAAACTGGCAGCATTTAGGATAACTTGATCTGTGGCAAATATATACTTAGAAGTAGCTTTAAGCTGTTTACCACAGTGAGAATGTATTACTGAAAAGAGTTTGTAGAGTAGGGGTCCCCAGCATATTGCCTGTGGGCACCATGGCACCTGCTAACACCTTTCCTGGTACCCATGCGTGGGACCAGGTAGGAATTTTGTCCAGCAGGGGTTCTAACTGGCCTTTGGAGAGCTGATTGGTAGTGCAGATATTTTATTTTTTTTAATGTTGCTTTGGTAGCACTATAAGCACAAGGATCTTCATTGCATGACTGAAAGTAAATTGCATGTATGCAATAAAATATGTTCATTTTAAAAAGAATCTTGTTAAACAGAGCTTCTGCCTGAAATGTTGAAGGATTAAATGTCACTCCCTGACATTTTGCAGTTGGCTCTACCTCTGAGCAGCCAATTTGCAGTTGTATTCACCACCCTGTGTCAGAATTCCAGAGGTGTCCAGAGGCATGAAAAGGTTGGGGATCTTAGTATAGAGTAAGCCTAAAAAAAGGTGTGGGCTGACATTTGCAATAATGGAAAATAATTGGTAATGATTTAATTCGTATATTAATAAATTTAATTTTTGTTCCTTTGGTTTAAGGTGGACTTGTGATCTGCAGAATGCTGACCTATCCTCCAACTCGAAGAGAATTGATTGTGGGTTGTGGTCTACAAATGTTCCAGCAACTTGCAGGGATTAACACAGTCATGTATGTATCAATTTCTTTTACTTTTTTTAAAAATGTTGGGATATATTTCAAGTGTTCAAATGTAAAATGGATAAAGATTTGTCTCAGTCATTGAGTACGATACAGAAAAGGGAAAATACACATATAAGAAATTTTAAATAGCATTTTAGGGTTTTCAGATAAGTTTTTATGATATTGAATGAAAATACATCACATATTTCATTTTCCAAAAAACTCCTGGGAAGATTTTCACTTTGTGATTATTGATTGCTTTGTGCTAGGATTAACTAAATGCAGATTTGCAGCCAGCAGGTGCGCTGAGTGCAGGTGGATTGTGTTTTTTTCTATTAAAATCTCCAAATTGGACCCATACAGCATAAGACCAAGGGCTGCTGTGGTCCTTATCCCTGGCTTTTTGAAATTCTGAGTAATATTCCAGATACACATTGTTTGTGAACTTTTCCAACCTCTTTATGGGAACATCTGCAGTCTACACATGTCCATCTGTAGTGGATGTGGGAGAATACTTGTGTTAAATTCTGTTTTGTATCCCCCTAGACTTAGATACATTTGGAGATTTGGCACAACATTTTTTTAACCTGCTGCAGCTACCTGGTTTGCCTGCATACAAGACTCATTTTATGTGTGAATTGCTGTGTAAATGAGAGAGAGCAGAGACTGTGTATGCTGTTGCCACAGACCTAAAAACAATTATATACCAGGCCTGTATTTTGCTCCAGTGCAGTGAACAGCAGCCCCATGGGGCAGTTTCGGTTGGAAAAACGTTTGTGTGTGGGGAGGGAGTATAGACCAAATGCAGTACGTATATTTGAATTCCTTAAGGTTAGGTAAATGTTATGCATCACAAGTGTCTGCAGAACACCTTTCAAGTGCTTTCCTCTGCATTACAAGAGAATCCAGAAAGTATTGTGTCAGAGTCAAATGTTTTTAAGAATGTTGACATAAATATAGTGTATGCAGATGGCAAATAGATGAACTTCTGAAGTTCCTAAAGAAAAATCTCTTTTGGAGCAGCTCCAAACTTTTTTAAAATAGTAGTATGTTGAAGCCTTGTAAAATAGATGGTACACATAAGCTGACTTTGCTTATCCTAAACATACAGATGTGTTTGTGAGCTAAATGCCTTACCAACCAGTAATTTTTGCAGACAGCATGGAATTGCTCTTGTTTGACAGTGTGTGGTGGAGAAGAGGAAAAGGTTACTCCAATAAAACGTTTAGTTCTAAAGGCATGCTAAGGTATAGATTTAGCTAACAATTCCTTAGAAGCCTAGTATTAAAGGTGTGCAATCCAGTGTGGAGGAGTGATTACTCAGTGGTAGAGCATCTGCTTGGCATGCTGAAGGCTCCAAGTTCAATCCCTGGCATCTCCATTTAAGTACTGGGTAGTAGGTGATGTGAAAGATTTCTACAGGAGACCTTGGAGAGCCACTGTCAGAGTAGGCAATACTGACCATGATGGTCTGCTGGTATGATTCAGTATAGGGGCAAGAAAAATAAAGCCCTCACCTGGATAGGCCAGGCAAGCTCGATCCTGTCAGATTTTGAAAACTAAGCACAGTCAACTCTGGCAAGTACTTAGATGGGAGACCTTTGTGTTCTGCTATGCGTGTTCTTAAGTTTCTAGTTGTTTTTCCAACATAAACTTTTAAAAAGGAGCATTGGATGATGTATATATAACCTGTGCAGAGTTACATGTTATAAAATCCTTTAGTATATATTTTTTTCTTACATAAAGGTTTGGTAAAGTATTTCATATTACATATTAACTTACAACAATTACAATTTCCACAGACAAAATGTCCATGAGGAGCAGGGGTCATTTCGTAGAAAAAGAGCTGCAGGAGCTCATTAGCATACCCAATAAGCTATTAGCATAATAGCTCATTAGCATATACCACATCCCCTGACATCACCAGAAGTGATGTCAGAAGGGGAAGCAAAAAGGGGGGGAGGCATCTTCAAAAGCCCCCCCTTCCCTACTCCAGCTGGCCTGTGGGCGGGGAGCAAAGAAAGAAGGGGTTTAAACTTTAACTTAAACTTTAAACCCCTTCTCTCAAGAGATTGCACCATCACTGCGGCGCAACTCCATAGAGAGTTTAAACCCCTTCTCTCAAGAGATTGCACCATCACTGCGGCGCAACTCCATAGAGAGTTTAAACCCCTTCTCTCAAGAGATTGCACCATCACTGCGGCGCAACTCCATAGAGAGTTTAAACCCCTTCTCTCGAGAGTCACATTGCAGCAGCGGTGCGATCTTTCCATTGTATTCTATGGGGCCATAGAATACAATGGAGAGATGCTGCAACTCTAGAGTGAAGGGGCTTGGGGGTGGGGGTGGGGAGCTGGTGGCAGGGCTCGCTTTCATTCAGGAAAGCCTCCTTATCTCTCCTTGCTGTTCTCTGGAAATCTTTATTCAGTTGGGTAAATCTTTTCTTTTCACCTTTGCCTTTTTCTTTTCTTCTTTCCTCAGCTATTTGTAAAGCATAATCAGACAGCCACTTTGCTTTCTTGCATTTCTTTTTCTTTGGGACGGGAATTTAAATTTTAGTATATTCTGCATTTTTCCGTGTATTTCCTTCCAATATCTTTTTGCTTTTTTACAAGTCTACCACATATGCCATCTATGTCTTGGCATTTCCTTTTTTAAAACTTTTTTTATTAAAAACTTTTATATACTTATAAAAATCAAACTTAAGGAAAATAAGACAGAAAAAAGAGGAAATAAAGGAAAAAAGAGAAAAATAAGAGAGAAAAGAGAAAGAATGAAAGAACATATCCTTAAAACTTCCAAATTTTCTCAACGACAAGGCCCAATACAATCAATTATTGCTAAATATAAAAAATTAAACATAATCACTTATTCCAATATCATAACCATTACAATAATACATTCTTACTGATTATTTTTTCTATTAAGTTTTTCCTTACTCATCAAATCCACATATCATCAATTCATTTTTTTCATTTTAATGCAGAAAGTCAATAAGGGGCTTCCAGTTCAATAAAAATTGATATTGTCTTCCTTAATCAGAAAAGTAAGTTTGGCCATTTCTTCAAATTTTAACATCTTAAACGACCATTCTAGTACTGTACTGTAGGTATTTTTGTAGTACTGTAGGTATTTTAATCTTGCTGTTGTAATCTTGCTACTGTAATCATCTAAAGAAACAAAATTCCATGACTATTTTCAAGCTGCTTGTCCATCAGTCCTAAAATAAAGGCTTCTGGCTTCATTTGTATGTTACTTTTTAAAATCTTCTGTATTAATGATTTTTTTGTATCCAAAATTTCTAAGTTGTATTAAAAGTCCACCACATATGATAAAATGTCCCTTCATGCTGTTCACAGTTCCAGCATTTATTCAACATATTTTATACATTTTAGCCAATTAATCATATTTTTAGCCAAAAACCCATTTTTTAACATTTTCCTTTAAGATTCACACAATGAGAATTTCAAGGCTTCAATCACATTCTTTACCATTGGTCCATTTGTGTATCATGTCCAAAGTTCTTAGCCCATTTTATCATGCAATCTTTCACCTGTTCTTCTGTTACATATTTCATTAAGAGTTTATACATTTTAACTTGAAGATTATTTGTACATAACTCTGTTTCGAATACCGTCTTATTTTCATCAAAACCATAGAGTTGTTGATCTGATTTCAATCTTTATAATTGTGCATAGACAAACCATTGACAATTATATCCTTCTTTTATCAAATCTTCCCTTGATTTAATCTTATATTCACCTTGTGTGAAAGATAATAAATCATGGTAAGTTAACCATTCATGTTTAAATACCATTTCTTATCTATAAAATGCTTCTTGAGTTGAAGGCCACAAAGTTGTTTTGGGACATAGCCTAGATTTATATTTGTTCCATATTCTCAATAGCGCATGTCTAATATACTGATTTTTAAAGTCTACATTAACCTTACCTTTTTCATACCAACCAAATCTCAAATCATGTCCCTCCATTTCTAATAACTTTCTGTTTCTTAGCAGTAACCATTCTTTTAGCCAAACCAAACAACATTGCAAAACATAATTTCAAATCAGGAAAGCCCAGTGCTCCTCTTCCTTTAGCATCTTGCAAAATTTTATATTTAACACATGGTTTTTCCCTTGCCAAACAAAGTTATATATATCTTTTTGCCATTCTTTAAATCACCCTGCCAACAAACGTCCGCATGGTCAAAGCAATGGTATTCCCAGTAGTCATGTATGGCTGCAAGAGTTGGACTATAAGGAAGGCCAAGCGCCGAAGAATAGATTCTTTTGAACTATGGTGCTGGAGGAGACTATGGTGCTTGAGAGTCCCTTGGACTGCAAGAAGATCAAATCAGTCAATCCTAAAAGAAATCAACCCTGACTGTTCCCTGGAAGGCCAGATAATGAAACTGAAGCTCAAATACTTTGGCCACCAAATGAGAAGGGAGCACTCACTGGAGAAGACCCTGATGCTGGGAAAGATTGAAGGTCAAAGAAGACGGGGACGGCAAAGGATGAGATGGTTAGACAGTGTCATAGATGCAACGAACATGAAATTGAGCAAACTTCAGAGGACGGCAGAAAACCAGAAGGCCTGGTGTGATCTGGTCCATGGGGTCGCGAAGAGTCGGACTCGACTGTGCGACTGAACAAAAACAACAAATGGTATATAAGATGTCAACACTGATATTGTTGAAACAAAAATAGGATCCTAAGAGCGCAATCCTGAGCCACGCCCATCTTGCAGTGGCCAGCTGCAGTGCAGGGGCAGCACCACTAGTTGGCTTCCTAAGGGGCAAGTTACACTGCAGCAGAGCGGGGGGGGGAGTATAGGTGACTGCTTGCAAGGCCGTGTCCATGGTGATTCCACTGCAGTGTGACCTCGCAGTGTAGTGCCAAAGCGGGGCGGCACGAGGAGCAGGGCACTTCACGCTGCAGGATGAGTCCTGGGAGCACATGCCATTGCATGTCACAGCTGGGGGTGGGGAAGGGTGGCTCAGGAGGA